TTTTTTTTTTTTTTTTTCGGTTCTGATGCAGTTCTATAGTAGAGACCGTAGTTTTTAATAGTATTGCGTTAGGTGATCGGCCCTCTCAGCTCGGTGGTCGAAATGCGGGGGTGGGTGCGGTGAGGGCCTAGTAGATTCACTGCAACATTTTGGATGCATCAGGTCAGCGTTCCTGTTCAGATTCATTGACAATGTTTTGCGGATGGCGAGTGGTGCACTCTGCACCGACACTCTCTGAGTATAGTAGTTAGTGCATGCGGACGTGTAATCTGCTTCCATCTTGGATCTTGGTCCTTCGAATCATGTACGAAGAGCCGTGTTTGGCATCTTCTCTGTTCTTTTTATCACTCTTTACTTTTTTTTTTTTTTTTATTGACTCGATGGACCGCGGGATTGATCACAGTGTCATATTGAACTGACCAGAAAAACAGATCCTTTTTTTTTTCTTTTTTTTTTTTTAAAGAAGAACAGATACTACATTCTTTTTTTTTAATGAAGAACAGATACTACGTTCTTTTATTTTTAATGAAGAACAGATACTACACTAAGTCTTGTTGATCTATATTTTTTTATTTAGCCATAGGGTTGAGGAAGGTATCAGTCGCGTCCCCTGCTTCATTACAGAGCGCGCGATATTGTACGCGGTCCATATTTTACGTCGACGTCATCGCTTTTTTTTCTTTCATCAATTTTTCTTTCACCATTTTTTCATATACTATCTGTATATGCATGACATTCTCTGCTGTGTACATGGTTTTCGTGTACTTACACTCTGAATGTTCCATCATCAATCAATCAATCTCTCGATCCATTGCTGTACGGGTCTTGCTCTGCTTCATCCTTTCAAAACGGCGGCACCTCGTATTCCGTTGCAGGATTCGATCTGCTTCATCCTTTCAAAACGGCGGCACTTCGTATTCCGTACCCGGATTCGATCGGTCGACCTGTTACGATCGAATCCCCACTCTTCCATGTATCTGCTGTGTGCCATTTGTACCAACCCGTCAGCCTTTTTGCTAGATCTTTAGTTAAAAAGTTTTTGATTTACAGGCTACAAACAACACCAAGGCGGAAGCTGAGATACTGCGTTTGTCCTTTGTTAGATCTTTAGATGTAGGGTTTTGATCTACCGACTACGAATAACTACAGGCCTTACTCGTTTTTGCTGAGTCCTTCCTGGAAACTGACCTATAGATGGCGGGAATACAGAGCCTAGCCCGATTTCTTTCCTCCTGAACATGCGGACTACGATCTGAACGTGGGATTTCTGTTTTACCTCCGCAGCCTAGGATTTTCACGTAATCCCGCGGATAATTCCGACGCCAAGAACAGTGATACTCCTGCCCTGGACCGGTTTACAAAGTTACTGCGCCTTGAGTACAGGATACGAAAGACACGACAGCGTAACTCGTTTTTTGGGAGTACTGCCTGTAGACTGACCTCAGCTTTCCGTATTTTTTCGCGCCAAGAAGGAGAACTTACCTCAGTGGTTTACTAGCTACGTGATGCCTAGATAGAAGTTACATTTGCTACTATTTAAGAGAGAGGGCTTTTCCTTTCTCCTACCTCGGATACTTACCCCTCCTGATGAGGCTAGAACTGGCTCTAGCCGAAACCGGTCGAGGGAAGCCAGACAGCCATCACCAGGGTTAGCCTGGCTATGGCTTCCTCTTGAGCTTTGTTGCAGATCTTTCGAAGAGGTACTCTTGGTGTTGCAGAAGAGTAACTTCTGAGTAATTTCCGAGTTTTCACATATTCTGGCGGGTTGTATTTTTCAGCAACTTGCCTATGTGTCGCGTGCCGCTGATCTCAGTCGACGCTGTGATTAGCCTTCGCTCTTTCCAATCTTTCCAATTCCAATTCCAATCCAAACCCGTCAGCCGTTGTTTCTGTTTCTTTCTCTAGCTGGCAAACCAAAAGAACAAAATTTGGTTATTGCGTTTGTTTTCATCGTTGAAACGCGTAGAGGGATGCGCGCGAGCTGAGTTGATGGAAGACGAATAATGGACATTATTATTAAATGATTACTTAGTACTTCATTTAAAATTCGTGTTCAGATTCTTCAGAAGAAGCAATTGTTTGTTTTTGGACATTTAATTTACTGTAATTGCTTCATTCGGATTTTTTGTGTTCAGATTTTTTCAGAAACAATTGCTTTTGTTCGGCCATCGCTTTTTCCTTTTGAAATTCTTCGTTCTCTTTTTTTGGCCCTTTGGGCATCGTCACACCACTTGAGCTATGTGTTTTTACCCACTTGAGGAATGTGAAAAAAAAAAAAAAAAAAAACCGACAAAACCTAAGGCGGGTGTAATTTCCCATTTTCCATTTTTTTCTGCAGAAGAGATACATGCTGCAGTCACTCTCATTTAAGTTCATTCACTGATGAGGGCCTCGCTCCACTACTCTCGACAGATGCACAAAAGACAAAAAAAATAATGACGGTGTATCTTTCCATGTTCTAGCGGAAGATTCACTCTCATTGTGCACATTCGAGAGTTACTGCAGTGCAGCGAGAGGCCGTAAGTGCCGCCGTGTTGCTTTTCTTCTTTGCCCTCTTGCGTCCTCCTTTGTTGCCTCCGTGTTATATTCTCGAGTCTCGACCGTTTTTTTTTTTTTTTTTTTTTTTTTTAAAGAAGGGGCGACGGCCTTGAGATATCGTCAATTATAAAACTGACTGGATCCAGGTAATTCAACATTTTCACTCAACATTCCAACTGTGCGTTCCATCTGGATTCGAGCTCACGTCTGCATTTCAACATTCCAACTGTGCGTTCGATTCGGGATAAATAGATTATTCTCTCTCTCTCTCTCTCTCTCTCTCTCTCTCTCTCTCTCTCTCTCTCTCGTCGTCACCAAGTCAATCCCGGCGGGCGCAGTCCCACGAACGAAGCGGATAATTTGGAGTTAACCCCTGAATCTGGACGTGGCTATGGAGAGGTGCAGATAACCGCGAGAGATCTGCTTTTCTGCATCTCTGCTGAAAACCCATCCAGATTCAGGCTTTTTTCAATCCGATCCTCGTTGCTACCATGGGGGACTGCGCCCCCCGATTCATTTCACCGATTTTCACCGATTTCACCGAATTTCACCGAATTTTCGCGCTGGCTTGTTTTTTGCGTATAATAGTGGGTGGTGCTTGTCATTCCGTGTACCCCGTTGTGAAATAGAGTGGCTGCCGCTACGGGGCTCCTCCCAGTATTGCCGTCGGGATACTATAAGATGATACTAATAAAATGCCTGAAAGGCCGTCCTGTCAGATTCAGCAAAAGATCTTGAACCAGTGCACCTCATTCCACATTGGGACCGTAAAAGCATAATGACTACTAATCAATCATCAATCATCAATCATCAATGAATGACAATGTAGAAGTCAGTAGCAGCGAATGATAATCACATTTGGTTTCAAATCGTGTGCAATGATCTGATTGTGTCCACTTGAGCAGGTACCGTTCGATCTGCACCCAGAAGTAATCGGAGCGGCTGCAGCAGCTATAACTCTTCTCCTTGTGCATCCGTGCCTGCCTGCCTGCCTGCGTGCGTGCGCTGTGGTTCCACGTGTGAGTTTCGCACTGGACCAGGTACTATCCCCTTGTGCATCTGCCAGTGTTGCGGCGTCAGATTGGACGCCACGTGGACTTCTGGGTCCAGATCGAACGGTACCTGGTTCACGTGGCGCACAAACCACGTGGACGAAGATTTGTGCATCTGTAGCGGCTGCAGCAGCTATAACTCTTATCCTTGTGCATCTGTTGCGGCGTCAGATCGGACCAGGAGGTCAGGTTGTTTGTGCGCCACCTGGACGAAGATTTGTCGAGACAAGTTTTAATTTTTCCTACCGTCTTTTTTTTTGGTTGGGATAACGAAAGGGCCACACACGGGTATTTCCGACTTCTTCTTCTTCTTCTGGATTTTTTTTTTTTTTTTTTTTTTTTTTTTTTTCTAGTAAAGCGCGTACACCACTCCTGAGTTGTTCCCACTGATTGTGCCGATTTTTTTGTGCGTAGTTCCACGTGACACTGTGAGCTTCGGACTGGACCAGGGATCCGCTGCGGGCCTGTGGCGGCGTTGGATTGAACCAGGAGGTCAGGTTTATGTGCCCGGTGGACATCATGATGAGGAAGGGATAACGAACGGGCTCCATGTAATTGCGACTGTGTGTCGGGACTGAATCTGCATCCCGACTGCGTTTTCTCCGCGCGCCGGGACCACGTCCAGGGGGGTGTTCGATTGGTGGAAGAGCTTCTTGTCCCAGGTATCGCCTGTGTGACCGGGACTGCTGGTTCCAACTTGGGTCCTTGGGGGGCGAAAGGCCAGATGTGTGCGAGTTCCACTTGCGACTGAGAATCTGAGATAGTACTTCAGATTCAATTTGCGTGCTATTACGCTATTTCTTCTGGCCGAAGTTTTCTCGGAGGAGCGGTACAAAA